TGGAAGCAGAAGCAGACACCCACAGCTAAACACTGAACTGAGCTCCTGGAAACCAGTTGCAGAGAGGGAGGAGCGATGAGCAATGGGGTCAAGACTAGGTTGGTTTAACCCACAGGAACAGCTGACCTGAACAATGGGGAGCACATGGAACCCAGATTGATAGTTGAGAGGCCAGCACGGGTCTGATCCAGACTCCCTGAATGTGGGTGTCAGTGAGGAGGTCTCGGCATTCTTTGCAGCCTCGGGCAATGTATCAGTAGTTATCCTTGGCATCCAAATGGACTTCGGAGGCCATTCCACATGGAGGGATGCTCTCTCAGCCTGGACACATGGGACAATATGACAGACTTTGGAGATCCCCCATGAAGGGCCTTACCTCCCTGGAGAGTGGAATTGGGATTGGGTGGGAAGTTGGGGAAGGATTAGGGGGTGGGGCAGGAGGGGAGTGAGAGGGAGCTGGGATTGACATGTGAAGCAAGCTTGTTTCTACTTTAAATAAAAAAACAGGTTAAAAAAACTGTCAAGGTACAAAACCTGAGGGAAGACAGAAGTTTTGTTAATTGTGTCCTCTATATTCCTACCTGCCCTGTCCTCTGAGCTCAAGTTCTGGATACTTTAAATCAAATACATACCAACATGCACAGCACTGAACAAATATTTAAATTAAATTTAATATTAAAGTGTTTTAAAATGTGATGGGGTTTCAAGCAGGAACAGCACCGTGTTGGAGACTGGACTATAGACCATGCCATGTCACATTTGTGAAAAAGAACCAAACTAGGTTTTGTACTGTGTCCTCAAAGCTGAGTGAGAATGAACTCAGAAGTAGAGAAGTAATTGATTTTGTAGAGGAGCTAGCAGTCAGAGAGAATAAATAGGAGGAGAAATCCAGGCTCCAGAAGAGAAGAAGGAAGAATGAGACAAGGCGGGAACAAGGGAGATACCCAAGGCCAGAAGCCAATCAGCCCAGCACATATCCTTTTTTCTGTTTCACTATTGGCTGTTCATCTTTTTGATAGCCCAATCAGGTGCCTTATGTAGCCAATGTGAAACAAATGCGACACATCTTCTCATAATTAAACAAATGCAGCATAAGCAAAAGTAACACATCTTTGCCTAGTTAAAATAATTTCTACAACAGGATACAATACAAGAAAAGTAAAGGCTCCGAGAATTTAAGTTAAAAGAGCAAATTGGCAATGAATGGGCTGGCAAAACCAGCAGAGACAGCTGATCCAAACAGGGGAGAGCTCTTGGACCCCAGACCAACAGCTGGGAGGCCAGCATGGGACTGATCCAGACTCCCTGAATGTGAGAGTCAGTGAGGAGGCCTGGGCAACCTATGGGGTCCTGAGCAGTGGATAAGTGTTTATCCCTCGAATACTAACAGGCATCTTGTGTCCATAACACAAAGAGGGTTGCTCTCTCTGCCTGGACTCTTAGGGGAGTGCCTGGACCCCACCCTGAGTGAAATGACAGACTCTAGATATCCCCTATGTGGAAGGAATTGGCAATAGGGTGGGAGGATGCGGGGGATGGTGGGGGTTGCAGGAGGAGGGGAGGGAGAGGGAACTGGATTTGACATGTAAAACAAGCTATTTTAAATTAAAATAATAAAAAATATATTAAAAAAGATTTAGTCAGAAGAGAGCTAAACTGAGGCCAGCATTCAAAACGAGCTAAGTCTCCACGTCATGATTTGGGAACTGGTTGGTGACCCAAAAGAAAAAGCCTGATACAGTATCCCAAGAAATATTCTGAAAAAAAAACATCTGGAATATTCTGAAAAAAAAATGCTAGTGTCATTCAATTCTGTTTCACTCTTCAAATGCTGAAAATGCGTTTCCTTCCTCCCTTCCGCTCTCCTTCCCGTCTTCCCTTTTGGTTTCTGTTTGGGCATCGTAGCAAGATGGTAAAGTGCCTTCAGTCTCATGTTTTCAATGCTGTCCACAGCTTGGGATACTATATTGAAAGTCGTGAGGACTTTAGGAATGCATGACTGGCAGAGGTAGGTCACTAGGGCGGGGTCTTTACAGGCCATGTGCCATGGTTGTGGCCAGTGTCGTGTGAGCACCAGTCAGCTCCCCCAGGCTCTCCCTGCTATACCTTTAGCATGAAGAACTGAAGTCTCTCTTCCTTCAACCAGGAGCCAAAATAGACTATTCCACTCTGAAATACTTTCCGCCATGTATTTCGACTGCCCACTATGATAAATGTAAATCCCCCTGAAACCAGGAACCCAAGCCAGTTAGGATCTCTGCTTGTATATGAAGGAATGTTCCTGCCACCATGCCGTCCCTGCCACAGTGGGATGAAAGTTCTCCGGGGCTGTCCCCAGAACAAACCTGTCTTGTCTTGATTTTGTCCAGTGCTTGCTTCACAGCAACACAGAAGCAATGGTGAGCACAAGGGATGCCGCAAACGTCCTTTCTCTTCACACACTGGCTTCCGGTGACTCCGTGATGGGGCAGTTTCCATGTCCTTCACTATCATGTTGTCATCTCTTAGACACTTCTGAGCACTTGAAGAAACTCTGTGTCCCAGAGCCGAAGTCCTTCACTTTCTAGTAGAGAGAAGGAAGTCACTGTTGCCTCTTGATAGGGAATGCCAGAAATGGAAATATAATAGAGTGGGTTGACCTTGAACCTTGGACACAAAATCCAAACATCTACTTGTTACAAGATTTCAGGATGTTTAGCAGCTACATCAAATTCATTTCAGTATGGCTAGCATCTGGGGCTGGGGCTGTTCAGTGGTGGAACACTCCCTTAGCATAGAGGAGGGCCTGGATTAGACCCCAGCAGCCTCCTCCATCACTGCTATGTTGCCTCTCACCCCCAGTTGCCTCAGCTTTGACCCCAGTGTCACTGTCTTCTGGCTGGACCACACACCTTCCCAGAGGGAGTGTATGCCTCATCTTGTTAATCATCAAGACAAGGGTTACACATATTGAGATTTCTCGGTAAAACATGCCCTATCCTAAGTGTAAGGATTTCTGTGACTTCCACTGTACACACACATACACACAAACACATACCACACAGTGCACACACACCACTCACACTGCACACACATACATACACACACAAGTCACCCACAGTGAACATACACACACCATACACACAGTGCACACACACACCTTATACACAGTGTGCACACGCCACACACACAACCATATACACAGTGCTCATACGCCACACACTCAGTGCACACACACACCTTATACCCAGTGCACACACACACACCTTATAAACAGTGCACACACACAACCATATACACAGTGCACAACACTCACCTCACACACAGTGCACACACATACATCACACACACACACACATGCACACATTGTATAATTAGTAAGGAACATATGAAGAAACAGCAGAACCTGGGACCCGAGATGTGGTGCGATGAAACCCCAAAGATGCTGCCATGTCCCTGTTCCCTGAGGAGATGCTGGTTTCAACACCCTGCACCAACAGACTGACCTCTGCAGGCCTCCGCTGCAGCCCTTGATGGCAGCCTTCTGTGGCTGGCCAAGGGGATTCCTTGCTTGATGGTACATGGTTTTAGAAATGCTTTGTTTATTTTTACTGTGACATTTGGAAGAGGGTCTGGAAGCCCTTTTAGTTTCATGGCTTTTACTTGGGAAAACACAGACTACTTCTCTTTAATTTCCAGGAGTCATGCTGAACATATTGTGCAATAACTTTATTGGAAATGAGAATGTAATGCAGATAAGCCTACTTTCCCACCCTCCCTGCTGTGCTGTTCACACGGAGTGTGTTCCCCTACTCCACTGGTGATCTGGACCCCAACACGCACTCCCTCCCTAGGGGAGTCTACATGGAGACTTGGGGGACTCCTCTTATCTGGGGAGGGTCATGTTGGGGGTGAGCTCAGGCCTGAGACCGGTCCATATTGCATGTCCTGGCCCTACACCACAGGGTGGTCCAATATAGAAGTCTCTAGTCACCAAAGACCCTTTGCCTGGGTGTCCCGTCCTCATCTGGTTCCCATTTGTTGTTCTCTGGCTGCTGTCATGTCACGCCAAAATCCTGGTTCTCTTTCTCTTATATTAGATCAAATGCCAAGCAGCCTTTGACCTACACACTGACGTCCTTGCCACATGTGACCCATCACAAGCACGGGGGCCCTCGGGTGATTCTAATCATGAGTGACAATCCTCTGGTATTTGCACTTCTGTGGAGATGGAGGCATCTATTTGTGGCAATGAAACCAACCTAGCTAGTAAATAAACAGTCTACAGAATAGGAAAGTCACTAGCTGTGTATCTGACAGAAGTTCGGTACGTGGAATATACAAGAACTCAGGTATCAAAATCCCAAGTAATTACAGACTCCAGACTCAGGATGCAATATAAGAACTGAAACAAAATTAATAAGTACTAATGAACCAATCAATTGAATAAATAAATGGGCTAATGAAATGAGCAGGAGGTTCTCAAAAGATGAAGCAGGTGCATCCAATAAATATATGAATCAATATTCAACGTTAGTGGTCCCGGGGAAACGAAAATAAAAACCACAGCCAGATTCTGTTTCACCCAAGTCAAATAACAATGAGTGCAGGCGGGGTGTGGACAAAGGGGAACTCACCACTGGGGGGATGTAAACTAGTCTAGAAACTATGGAAATCAGTGTGCAGGCTACGGAGAAAACTGAAAACAGGTCATCTTATGACAGACCTGGGAGCTTCCCTAAAACACCCCTATCCAAATCATCCAGTGTTTTTGTTGAACTCTATTCTCTTAGAAACAATGATAATATGTAGTTGCAAATTAGTGGTTTCTGTGCACACATCAGATATGTGTGCAATAACGTTTTATAAAGCAATTGAAAGTTATTACAACATGCATATGTGAGCAGAAATGTGGGATTTCTTCCCTCCCATGAAAGATACTAGAAACAATAACACACTTGACCTAAAGCCAGGAAAATTTCAAAGTTGGTTTTTTTCTATCCAATGAATTGATGCTTAAACATTTTAAATTAAGTTTATTTGAAAGTGGCAAAAGTTGAACCTCTAAGTATTTTTGTCTATGACTAGTTCAAGATGGATAGATTTTTAAAAAAACAAAGACAAAAACAAAAACAAACAAAACATCCCCTAGTATTAACTGGACAAGAGAAAAGTAACGTGAGAAGAGAAGATAAATCCTGAGACTTTGCCAGAATGTTTCAAAGGCCTTCAGATACAGACCCTCTTCTCACCTCGAATCCCCAAAGCCCACTTCTGAGGCAGCCTCCTTACTTTGTGAACGTGTGTTTCCCATGATGAGAAGTAAGGGCATGGTGAGTGTTGGCATAGACTGCAGAGAACAGACTTTAAAGTTCTGTCTTTACAAATACGGGAAAACTGACTCCATTTCTCGTAATTCACATGACACATTTTGGTTGTGGTTGTCTGTTAAATTTCCTGTTTTGGACCAGATTCAGCCAACCAAAATAAACAGCTCACAAGGAAGGTTTAGGTGGTGACTTCCCCCTCTTTTGATATTTCCAGTTGTCCATCTTTCCCTTGGAGGTACAGAAGAAAGGAGAGAAGGGGACCACACAGTCCAGTAAGTGGGTCACAGCAGTTTTAGGGCACCAAAGAAGGTGCCATCTCCGTCCAGTGAAATCTGTGCATTCTCTCGAGGTATGGCAAGCTGAATCTCGTCTCCTTCTTCCAGTCTCGCAATGCCTGGGAGGAGTGACAGCATTTTCAGTAGTTGCTAATTAGTAGGGCGCATTAAAGGAAGCTATTGTGTAATGTCAACACAAGTATTCACGCGTCACTCACAGTGATGATCCTCTAACCTGATCATAATTCTGTTAGTTTTAAAACTAAATAAAATGCAGAAACTAAGAGAAGAAATAGCAGTTGATTCCAGCAGATGTGTGTCCACTCTGCATAGACAGAGACTCCGGGGCAGATGTAAATGTCAGCTGGATCAAACCTTCTTTGAGAGACTGTCCTATCGCTGGCGGGTGTGGCTTAACTTTGCAACTAAAGGAAACTTCTATTAATATCAAAGATGTAAAATTACACATGTATATGAGACAGATAGATAGACGGACAGACAGTCCTAATTATACCCTATGGTAGCTTGAGAGAAGCCTAGCATGACGGTAGCCCATTTTTATTAGTTTCTGTTAGTTACTATTGAGTGGGAATGGATGGTATGGATGGACACATGTCTCAGCATGTGTATGAAGGTCAGAGGTCAACTTTGTGGAGCTGGTTTTCCCTTCCCATCTTTACACAGATTGTGAGACCAAACTCAGATTGCCATGTGACCTCAGTGCCTCTGCTCATTGGGCCATCTCACTAACCACTGGTTATAAGTCTAAACCAGCTACACACTGAATTAAAATGCAGCCTGGGCTACAGACTGAGACTCTGTCTCAACTAGCCAAAGACAAACAAACACCTAAAAATAAAAACCTTCTTTAATATCAACCTAACTGCGGAACAGTTTTGCTCTGAGTCAGGGCTTTTGCTTTGGACATCCTTAGAGTTTCTTCTCACAGCCTTCTACACTTTGGGTTTCCTTAAATGACTGTGGTTATCTTCATGATCAAAAGAAACAAAGTAATAAGCTCCTAGAAATGTTATCTATATCTGTTTGTGCCTAATTTATAACAATGTACTCTGTGACTTGGAATGTCTCAGCATTTTCTCTATCAGGCAACCATCACGGACAAACAGTGCCACACAGACATGCTGTACAAGATGCCTGTGTGTTTCAAAATTGACAAAGCATTAATGGACTAGTACCTTATGAGTTAAAGAAAAGAGTATGAAAAGAGATCCGAGCACATGTGTTGCATGGGTTTGTGGCTGTCCTGGATACTGAGCATAATGTAATACTGTGGCCAGGGCTATGGCAAACAGGGCAAGTTCTAGTCATGGGTGTTAACGCCGATCAGCTCCTATTTCAGAACCCAGCACGGAGTTATTGGCCACGTTAATCCCTTCCAGGCTGTAGAAATAACCTGTAACATTTTTCCCCTGTGAGAACCCTATCTGACTCACCAATTATTCATCTTCATACAAGCAAGTGTTCCTCAGTACCATGCTGGGTGTCTCAAGACCACCACTTGAGTTTGAGCGGGTTGGTGTAGGGTCATAAAACAAACTCAAAATTGAAGTAACAAGCCTGAAACTTCTTGGAGCTGGTTTTCACTTACAGAGTTGACCTATTGATACTGAGACATATCTTGTGCATGAAAAGGGTTATCCTTTAAAGAGTAAGGGACCTGTCAGAGTCCATCTGTCAGAGTCCACCCACAGGAAGGAACTTCAAGGAAACCAAATGATCTGGAATGTTTAGGGAGTGTTAGCTGATTATAACAAGTGTGAGCAACACAGTGAAGAGGATTTTCCACTGATAAATATTTGCAATATCAAAATACTGCCCAGCACTGGGTAGAGAGGCAGATTCCTTCATGAAAATTAGGGACTTCCAACAATGACAGACTTCCTCCTGGTCACTGAAGTCATTAGGGGCTGCAGATCTGGTGTGGCATAACTTCTGCAATGGAATTGTGTTCTCCTTTACTTGCAGCTGATTTATTGGGTGTTTGTTTGTAAAGGCCTTTAAGACACGTTAGAGGTATTTCACAATCCTGGGTTTCACATTGCTGTTTGCTGTAACTGTCTGATACTAAAGACATTCTTCAGGTTCTGAATAGGTTTGTGAAGACCAGTAGACATACATACACATGCGAAAGGAGGAAAACAGTTTTCTGGTAACAGTGTCTATTCATTTGAAACAAAAATAAGTAAAATGTTGCCAGTTGCAGCATGGAGAGGCTGGAACTGATACAGTCTGCCTTTCCCCTGAGCATCCGTGTCCCCGAGCTAGATGCTTCTGCTGCAATTTTGAGTTCACAACTAGTCGTGTGTACAGGCCACCTGCTTTATCGTGAGAGCTGATGCAGCCAATCTACAGTATTCTCTTCCTTGCGCTCAGAGATGACTGGGGTCATTGTTTCCATCACACGTGCACACTGCAGGGATGGCAGTGTTGTCACCTGAAGCTGAGGGACTTAGGAGCAGTCGTGGTGCTCCTGTAGCTCTCATTCTCACTGACATGGGGATGTTACAAGAGTAGAGAGAAGCAGAACTGGCAGATGGTGAAGCAGACAGATTAACTGAGCAGCCAAAGAAAGCCCAGAAGCTTCCCAGGTTTCTATATCTGACAGTGAGTAGACATCGCTCCTGCAGCTGTTCTTATAAATGATGGAAGAAAAGCCATCGTTAGAATCATCCCTCTTGTGAACTCTCTGCAGCTGCGGTTTCCTGCACAGGACCAGAACAAGAGTAGGCTCCTCAGCTCGGCTTCAGGGATTAGGGAGGGGCTTGTGAAGCCACACCTCTCCCCTAGAGACTATTGACAGTTCATGGCTTCTGGGGAAGGGGTGTTGTTGTCTTCAGTGGTGTAAGTACTAAAAACCTGCCCAAGCTCCATAACCTCCCCCCCATGCTAACTAATTCATTAATTAACCATAATTAAGCTAAGTGGGGCTAACACAGAAGACAGGAAAGCCGGAGGGGCTTGTTTAGAAGAGGAATGGACACGACAGAAGAGAAAGGTAGTTAAAGAGTGTAACAGTGGGGCCGGGCGGTGGTGGCGCACGCCTTTAATCCCAGCACTCGGGAGGCAGAGGCAGGCGGATCTCTGTGAGTTTGAGGCCTGGCTGGACCGACAGCCTCCGAAACAATACAGAGAAACCCTGTCTCGTAAAACCAAAAAAAAAAAAAAAAAAAAGAGTGTAACAGTGACATGAGAAGGACTAAAAATCATTATAGACTTTGTCACAGAATAGAAGAAAAATAAGTATCACTCCAACGTTAAACACTGTGTGACACTCATTCTTAATTTTTAAAACACTATTATTTCATTTAACTATTTTTCATGTGTTTTGGTATTTACCCTGCATGGATATCTATGCACTATGCATGTACAGTGCCCAAGGTGACCAGAAAAGGGTGTCGGGTCCCCTAGTACTAGAGATCCATACAGTTGTGAGCTGCCATGTAGGTGCTGGGAATCAAGCCTGGGTCCTCTGAAAAGTAGCAAGTGCTCTTGTCTGCTGAGTTGTCTCTTCAGCACCAGCTCCTTCTTAATTTTTATAAAGATGGCTTGACCATTAGTGACAGTATTGGTTTTCTCAATTAACACAAGCTATTGCAAAATAAACAGCATGGGCTACAGCAGAAGGTCTTTCCATTAAGACCACAAAGAACCACTTTGGGAGGGATCAGATTTCCCCCAGCACAGTCTACATTACCTTGCTAAGCAAGTCTCGGGACAGCTACATACCAGCTGAGTAGCAGGAATTGTTGGGCAGTGTTCTTGGCATGTTCTGAATGCATCGGAACAGGGTCACCAGGCTGAGCTCGTCCCCAAAGACGTGTACTTTCTTCCTCTGGATGAGATGCCCCATGGCAAAGATGGTATCTGTGTATAGAACCTGAGGAACAAGCCAAGATGCTGTCAGAGATGCAAGACTGTGAGAGCACTGGACCAGGGAGGATGGGGAAAGGTCTGACACTACCTGGCTGTAGATGAAGAAGTAACCCGTTTGCTTCACCACGATTTTATTCTCTTTTTCCTCCAAGGCGCTTCCTCTTTTGAAGCTGAGAAGCCATGGAACAAACGTATAAGATCCTGTAGTAGAGAGAATACCTCATAAGAAAGCAAACCGAGAAGAGCAGTTTCCCCTTCCACTAAATTTGAAGCAGTATTCTAAAAAATGGAAGAAGAGGAAGAAGGAGGAGGAGGAGGAGGAGGAGGAGGAGGAGGAGGAGAGAAGAAGAAGAAGAAGAAGAAGAAGAAGAAGAAGAAGAAGAAGAAGAAGAAGAAGAAGAAGAAGAAGATCTTCATTGGGCTATCCGTCATTACATATTTTAGCAAGAGCGACCTTAGTGCCTAACAGACTTTACTCCACAAGAATGTCTGGGTTTCTTTCCTTGCTTTGTATACTGGCTATTTCCTTATAAAGGTTGGTTTGGGTGGGGAGGCCTGAAAGAGGGAACTGGATGTTCCCCTGCACAGCACACTGAGAGTCTTCTTCCATTGTCTGAGTAATCAGGTGAAGAAATCAACAAAATGCGTCTGGAGGAAGTAAATCTGGCAGCAGAACACAGCTAGCAAATGGGAACGGCTACGGAGACATACCCTGTACTGGGAAGTGCTCAGAACCCGTGTACCAGGAGTGCAACGTTGACACCAAAGGGTTCTGAGTGTCTCCCTCACTGTCTGCACTTCCTATCCAGAGCGACACAAAGACACTGTGCTCCAGGCTATACTAAAGGAAGGCAGGGAGGGCAGACCGAGAAGCAGACCAGGGAACCAAGCCACAGGGCCAGAATGCAGCAGATGCTTCCTAGATCTCACACCCAGGGAGAGGGTGCAAGCACACATTTCCTAGGAAAAGCTTACTCACGCCCGAGTGTGCACAGCTGTGGTGTGCCAACATTGGCCTGAGGACAACCCTCAAAGCTAGACAATGAGAGGAGATACAATGTACACTGAAGCAAAGCAGATCAAGGCCACAGCACAGTGAGGACACAAGAGTAAGCGGCGCTGCGGTGCGAGTGTAAAGATGCCAGAGCATCCTTGTGCAGTGGGAAATACTGTCTTAGAGCATCACCTCTGTCTACCAAAAAAAGGGGGGAGGTGGCAGAGGAGGGTTCAATCAAGTGAGTCCTAAAGAGGTGAAGAGATACCGCATTCACGTTTACATCACCGTCTGTCTCACAGCTTCACCCACACTGTGAAAAAGGACGGGGTACCCCTCCTTTCTATGGCCACATGATATCCATCGCTTCATGCCCCACATCACCATTGCCCATCCCCCTGTTGATGGGCGTACAGTTGTCTTCTTGGCTGCTGTGATAGGGACTGCAGTGAACTTGGGGGAGTAGGTGTCTCTTTGATTTAGTTTTCTTTATCTATAAACCCAGAAAGGGGGATTGCTAAAACACACTGCAATTCTGCTTTTAATTTGGGGGGACTCTTTATATTTTTGTGCAATGATTGCTCTAATTTATATTTCTGACTCAAATAAAGCCTGAAGAAGACTAAAGAAGAACCACACATTTTCCGAACATGTTAAAGGAGTTACGGAACATCAAAGCAGACGCCACTGTGAATTCACACAGTGAGTGAAAGTCATTGAATTACCTCCTCAGGTAAAGCATTACCACGCATATTTGGGGCTGGGGAAGATGCTGGGGTGGCTAAGAGAAAGTGGGTAGTGAGGTGGCGGTGCTGGACATGGGCAGATAGGCACAGAGGCATCATGGGTCCTCTCCTCAGCCTATGTCTGATGTGCACTCACTCCCTGGAGTTACTTCCCAAGAGTGGTGCGGCCTCTGAGGTGGAGCGGGACAGACCAACAAACTTTTCTTCTCAAGAAAGCATTTCAAGGGTTTCCTTAAATGAAAATCCCTCCATGCTAATTAAGATAACAGGCTCAAGGAGACTGGGGGCCACAGCAATTGCAAGGAGTAAAGGCAAGCCCTCTTTACTGTTTGTATGCAACATAATCCCAGAGGAAAGTCTGTAATAAATCAGTTTTTATCTTCTTTAAATGGCATGGTGTCCCACAGTGTTTTAAAACACTGAGAACAATGTGAGGTGCACTCTCACCCTGAACTCTTAGGGAAGGGTCTAGGCCCTGCCCTATATGAAATGACAGACTATGGACACCCCCATGGAGGGCCTCACCCTCCCTGGGGGAATAAGGGGATAATGGGGGGGGTTGGGGGGAGGGCACGGGAGGAGGGGAGGGAATGGGAGAGGGACCTGGAACTGACTTGTGAAGCAACCTCGTTTCTTATCTAAATTTAAACTGGAAAAAAAAAGAAAAAAAGAATAAAGCAATCTCAATAACCCCCCCAAAAAAAACACTGAGTACTGAACAACCCGAGGAGGAGATAAATGAGGATTGTTGCTAGATGGGCATGGTGGCAAACACCTCTTAGTTCCCAAACTGAGAGTTCAAGGCCAGCCTGGTCTGCCATAGCAAGTTCCAGGACAGTGGGGCTACATAGAGAGACCCTGTCTCAAACAAACAGAAATTGCTGCTATAAAATACCAAAACTGACTGTTGAAGTTGGTTACTTTCATGGATCATTTGAAGTTCCAGGTTATAGTCCATCACTGGAGAAAAGTCACAATGGCAGGAGCTTGAAGCAACAAGTCACACTATACCCCTAGTCAAGAGAAGAGGACAATAAAGGCATACATGGTTTTTGCTTCCTTGACTGAATGTTTAAATTTCTTCATTCTTATTCAGTTCAAAGCCGCTTGTTAAGGGAGCATTACTGCTCACGCGGAGCTGTGTCTCTCCACATCATGTAGACAATCCTTCCCTGAGACACCTCCCAGGTGATTACAGGTGTTTCAAGTTGGCGATTAAAGCTAATCATCCCACACCTCTAGTGGACCTTTGGGCTCTGTGCCAGCAGGAGATGACGGTAAAAGCCAAATGATTAGGGGAGAGGAATTCTCAAGCACAAAGCTAGTTTGTAAAGATCAGGGGGAATGGTTTCATTTGACTCCAGGCTTCTAGTGTTTGTGATAAATAACTATGAAGACTAGGATTACAGAGAGGGAGGCACTCTCCAGACTGACTGCCGAGACAACAAAACAAACTTCATCAATGTGGCCAGTGTATAGATGGATAGATAGGTATATAGATATAGATAGATAAATAGACAGACAGACAGATATATAGAAAACAGATGGATAAATGGATGGATTAGATAAATAGATACATGGATAGATGGATGGTGGGTGGGTGTATGGATGGGTGAATGGGTGTGTGTTTGGATAAATATTTGGGTGGATGGATGGGTGGGTGGATGGATGAATGTGTGCATAGATGAATGGATAAATGGGTGGATAGATGGATGGATGCATAGATGGATGCATGGATGGATTGATAGGAGGATGGATTGGTGGGTGAGTAGGTGCATTGATAGATAGGTGGGTGGGTGGATGGGTGGATGGATGGATGGGTGGATGGATGGATGGATGGATGGATGGATAGGTAGATGGATGGATGGGTAGAGGGTGGGTGGATGGATGGATGGATGGATGGGTGGGTGGATGGGTTGGGGGTGGGTGGATGGATAGATGGGTAGGGGGTGGATGGGTGGGTGGACAGACAGAAAGACAGATGGAGAGATGGATGAAAAGCAACTGAACAATAAACAACTGTGTTGCCAATGCCACCACAAACAACAGAAGACTCTGGGTTGGGTGGGGCACCTTACTTTCATAAACAACAAATTATGACTTACAAACTGTCTAATTTTCATTGGGTCAAAGGACACACAAAGATATAAGGAAATCCTGAACCAACCACAAGAGGAAATAAACCTTAACAGAAACTATTGCTGAAAAAGGCCAGGCACAGAACTATTAAATGTTTATGCAACTGAAGGGAACCAGGATGGTGACATATAAGCAAACAGACACTTCCAATAACTTCCCCAAATTCTTCTTAAGAAATGAAATAGAACAGAATAGTCACCAGCTCGAGGTGTGGAACCAGAGTCACGCTGGCACCCCAGTCACAAAGCACAAGTACCTCCATGTCAAACATTAAGTGCAACACTCCTTGGCACGATGCTAAGAACACGGGCAGGACTCTTATTACTGCTGCCCAACACTGCTCTGGAATTCTAGCTCAAGCAGCTAGGAGACAAAGTGGACAGAAGAAAAGGTATCCAACTGGAAGGAGTAAAGTAGAACCGTTTATAGTCACACAAAACAGTGATCTATGGAACAGAGATCAAATCCACCAGAACTAACAAACGAACTTAACTAACTTGCTTCACACAGGGTCAGCTCCCCAAAGTCACATTTAATGTCAACCAAGGAGGAAAAACATGGAATTGAAGAACACAATTCCATCTTTAAGATCATTTGTTATACACTGAGTTTGTGTTGTTTCCCAAACCCATGTGCTAAGTCCTATGTCCCAGTGATGCTGTTGGAAGGGAGGCAGAACCTTGGAGAGTTATATGTTACAAAGGTTTAGTCCTAGGGTCTAATAGAAGTAATGACCCAACTGGGATTAACAGACATCTATAAAACATTTCATCCACATAAAAAAAAATATACCTTCTTCTCACAACCACATGGAACCTTCTCAAAAATCCACCATACTTGGCAACATATCAAACATCAGCAGCTACAAAAAAATTGGAATAACTCCATGCATCTTATCAGACCACCATGCTTTAAAATTAGAATTCAACAACAACACAAAATGCAGAAAACCTACAAAGTCATGGAAATTAAATAATGCTCAACTGCACCATTCCTGGGTCAAAGAAGAAATAAAAAAATAAATTAAAGACTTCCTCGAATTCAATGAGAATGAAGACACAACATACCCAAACCTATGGGACACTTTGAAAGCAGTGTTACGGGGGAAGTTCATAGCACTAAGTGCCCACATGAAGAAACTGGAGAATAGTTATACTAGAATTAACAGCACAGCTGAAAGCTCTAGAACACAAAGAAGCAAACTCCCCCAGGAGGAGTAGATGCCAGGAAATAATCAAATTGAGGGCTGAAATCAATAAAGTAGAAACTAGGAAAACAATACAAAGAATCAATGCAACGAAGAGTTGGTTCTTTGAGAAAAC